ACAGCAGAACAACAACTGGCGACATGCGCCCACACAGAACTCAGAGATATGGCTTCCAAGTAACAGTTCGCTTCCACTGGCTATGGCGACTGTGCGCCTCAACAACTCGCTGTTCACACTCAGGATCACCCTGGATGTCCCACGCACATCACTCTGCACACTCACACCGTACGCACACACTGCACTCTACACTAAGCTAYGGCAGCTATGGCTGCCGCTACCTATCGCTATGGCTACACGGCTTCACTCTCGCCCACTTCGTCTTCGGGCCTCCAGCAGACCTCCTTGCACAAGACGCTGAGGCAGCGCTTCTGCATGGCTTCCGCAGGAATGAATGAATGGCTGGACGCAGCCTCTTGATTTATACTTCTGTGCCTCGCTGGTCTGCCCTGTGTCCCCTGGCCCACGGTGCACACAGTCCCAGACGGTACTTGCTTGACTGGACCGGACTGGGTGGACTGGGACTGCTGACTGTACGAGGTGGACTGCCACCACTTGACCACTTGCCTCTGTCTAACGTAGGCTGACTCCGAAAGGCCACTTCTAGAACTCTCTGTTTTGGCCTTTCGGTACTGTAGCAGCTACGAYGTTGCCCTTTCAGGTAAGTAGCAGCTACGACCTTGACCCTTCGGACAGTCTACAGCTACGACCTCTAGACTGTCTAGACTCCTACCCGACAGGTCTACAGTTCGAATCTCTTCGACCCTGTAACCTACGAAATACTACCCACCACTGGCGGTCCTACAGGTCGCAGGTTCAAATCTACGGGTTGGCACTGGTACTGTACACAGGTAAGTTGGGGAACTAGGGATCGAGCCCTGGGATCTGCATCAGCTACTGCGAACTGGTGAATACCGTTTCATATGTGAGTTCAGAGTGAAGAATAGGGGAAAATGAAAAGTGCAAAAACTTCAAAAAACTTGAAAAAAGAAGGCCTGGATCTTTGGGAGCAACTGTCGTGTAGGAATGTATCAACGGTTGAACTCCGACCCTTCATCTCTCCAGTCAATTGAGTTGATTGTGTTGACATCTCAGGGATATAATTATATGTGGCTCGCAGATATCGATATGTTTCACGATAAATACAACAGGAATATAAATTTCGCGAACTGGGCAGCAGGATTATAATTTCAAATCCGGTCATACGGCGACGGAAAGTTCACCCACCATTGAAATGAACCGGAACATAACGATGTTCTGTCACCCCTGGAACAGAACCCCGGTGCAACGTTGGTTGAATGGCCCATGGTCTATCATGCAGGAATGAGGAAAATGTTCAATGACAACAACGATTTTGAGCAAATATGTGAAACTGAACTGAACATTTTTTATCAATGAGAAATGACTACAAGAAAGCCAAACTGAACAGGGAGGCAAAATGGGACAACAAATATAGATAGCAAAATGTTTTTTTATCATGAGTAAAGATGAAAATTTAGAGAAGAAAAGACCTATCTGTCCATGTTACCTTAGTTCAATAAGGGGGCCATGTACGACCTTGATTAAAGCAATGAATCTGAACTAAGAAGATATGGGAATCTCCCAATAGGAGGGGGGCAGCTGGAATGAGACAGGATGGAGTATACTGGCAAGAAGGTGACCAAGGACGAAGGAACCCTGGCTTCAGGACAAATAAATGACGACGGTTGGGGCAGGGGTAGTAAATGGTTTCAGCAGCCACAATATGACATGGCCCAAGTGGGCCCGATACTACAAATGGTCCAAATGCCAACCCTGGAGCTTCCAGTACTCGGAAAGGGAAGATGCTAATTGCTACACGATCACTTGTGGTGGCCTGGTTCTGGGCTGAAGAGTCTTCTTCCCTGCTGACTCAGTATTGGGGAAGATGAATCGCCATGAAACTCTCGCCAGTAGATCGCCAGATGAAGAAGATGCCTCAGTGCGCTCAACCCTCAGTGTTCCAATTCCAATCCCAGCTCCGATACCAACTGTTATGATCTTGGTTGTCTGACGATTTATACCGCCACTCACACTCAGACAGTCTCATACATGCCCATACATGCATAAGAGAAGGGGGAGAGGAGACAGAGTCCACACTGCACACAGATCAGAGTAGGCAGCGGAATACAGCTATGCACAGATGGGGAGAGGACACACAGTGTTTCTCACTCTCTGACAAACTCCCAACAACCAATCACAAGAGGAACCTGCGAGGATAACAATTGAAATGACACTGATGTTGAGCCAACTCAAACAATTATCGTAACAGAGTTTGTTCCAGTGTCTCGCCACTCTCAGAACTCACACCCCACTCTCTATCCTACACCCAGTTAGTAGCGCCACATCAGAACGGCCTCCCAGAGGCCAGCGCCAACCACCCTGATGAAGAATAGGTCCTGCGATGAAGTCTTCAGTGCCGATGGACAACTCTGATGAAGGAACAGGCAGCTATGGCTGCCACCACCCACGAGTACACAGTGTAGAGCCTCGATGTAGCCCGGCCAGACGCAGATACCCCAGGGGTAGATGCGCTGAGGGTGCCCCAGCTATGGCAGACTCAGACTGGGCCGGCTATGGCTGCTGTTAACGGCGAGGTCTCAGGATGCCGCCTGCAGACAATCACCGCCACCAACTTGCTTTGCTTCTCCAACCCTGCTTCGCGAGAAATGAACTGCCCAAAAGTCTTGAACCGATGGGCCTAACCTATCTATAGACTACACTAGACCTAGACCGGACTGACTGACCGACCGGTACCGTTTCTGTTTCGGCCTTGCGGTCTCTACCGGACCCGGCTATAGGCTATAGGACCGTCTATCAGCATAGGCCACTTAGGGCCTGTCTGTCCTAGGGTAGTCCGGGCCTGCTATACGCAGTTAGGGTAGCTGTAGGAATTTGAATTGGTACTGGGCCGATATTTTCCCAGATTTGCAGATATGTCCCTCAGTAATTTCCTTACAGGTAGGTCTCTCGGTTAGTCCTCAGCCAAACAAAATTACGAATCTAACCCTACCGGTTAGTGTACAGCCTCGCAGTCAATCTCGGCAGTCAGAATCAGCAAGTCATTGCAGCTGCCACTTGCAGGTCAGGTTAAGCTGCACGATCATCTTGGAGATATCTTCCTTGGTTTGTTTTTTGGCGGTCGGTTTGGGATGGCTCTCCTTGGGAGTGAACTGCCATGCTTGAAGAGTGTCGGCGTAGGCTCTCCTTTTGTTGCAGTGCTGAAGATGCTTCCTTCTGGAGGCGGCTCAATGCTAATGCAGCCTTGGCCTGCTGTCGCCAATGTTCCTCTGCTGCTTGTGCTGCAGCTTGGATACGAGCGCCTTCCGCATCTACAAGGTGCGTCCTTTCGACGTCGACAAACTTCAAGTAGTTCGCCATGCGTGTATGAAAACCCTCCACGGTCTCTCCGGGCATCTGTCCTGGAAGGCCGGGGAGGCCCAGGCCCGGAGTGCCCAATCTTGGGAGCTGTCCAGGTATGACGGCCGTCGCTGCTGGGCCCCCAGGTGGGCTACCCACTGCTGCTGCTGCGGCCATGTCCGCTGCTTCTCGCTGCTGGCGCCTGTCAGAAGTCTGACAGCATCGCTAACGTACTGCAGGGGTAGCTGCAGCTATGGCACATCCCTAACGTGCAGCGAGTCGGTCGCTGTGGCTGAGCATAGCCGGGCTTCAGGCCCAGTGCTGATGTGGCACTGGTACTGCTGACGTGTCGCTGATGTGGCACATATGACATGGCACTGCTGTGGATGTGTTGCTGATGTGGCATGGAAGGCATGGTTCTGCTGCTGACGTGTCGTTGATGTGGCACGGATGACGTGTCATTGCTGCTGATGTCGCTGATGTGGCACGGATGACGTGGCACTTACCAGGCCAGGCGTTACTGAAGACAAACACAGGGGAGGAGGGGAGGAAGCAGGCAGGCAAACAGCAACAATCACAAACTGCAATCTCCCTTCCCAGCAGGTAGGTACTTATCAAGAAAAAATTCCCCTCCTTGAAGTTTTACTTGACCTTGTAATTTATGCCTTCACCGTTGAGTTTGTTTATTACCTCTAAGTTTCCATAGAGGAGAGAAGGTTGCGTTTTCTCCAGCTCCAGGATGTGACGAGTCGACATTGCAATTGTGTTAATTGAAACCACAATAAATAATAGTAAATACTAAATACTAAATACTAAATAACTCTTACTTGAATGAAATGAATACTGAAAAAATGAAGAAAAAATAACTAATTTTGCTTACCTAATAAGGGCTCATTTTCACCGGATCCTGACAGGGTGTCAGTTGGCAGGAAGATAGCAGACTGACGTCCAGATAGCAGGGGAGAGAAAAGATAAGAACAGAGTTTGCAGAAAAGAGTGCGTTTGGCAGAAAATCAGAAATTAGGAATGATTTGCACCAGGCATAAATAGAAACGAAAAGTGCCTACTTGCACCTAGTATCGAATCACGAATTGCAGAAAATCTGTGTTCTTTGCAAGTGGAAAAAGGAGACAGAAATTCCAACCACAAAAATTCGCAGGGATTTCCGCTGCATCAATTTCACTTTGACAAAGAGAACAGAAAAAAGTGCAGTTGACTGCAGGCATGTAGGGCAAGCTCCATAGTTAACCGAATTCGGGTTTATACGGTAGGTAATTAGGTTAGAATCTTCTCCGCTCAAGTAGGTTGGTCGTGTAGGTTAATCTCTTAACTAGGTAACAAAGTAGGGTTAAACTCGTGTTTAGCCTTAATTAGTCCTAATTACGAATATTAACCAGAGAGGTAGGTAGTTAGCACCCTAATCCTAATTAGCTTAGCGACTAAACTGCACAGTCCAAACCTCGATTAGCGCCGAGCTAGGTTTAGCACCTAATCTAAGTTAGCGCTGAACTTGATTAGTGCTGAGCTACTAACCCTAGTTAGTGCTAATTGCTAACCAGCGCTGCTTAGCGCAGATCCTGATTAGGGCTAATTATTAACTAGCGCTTCTTAAACCAGGTTAGCACTAATTAGTGCTAATTGCTAATTGCTAACCAGCGCTGCTTAGCGCAGACCCTCATTAGTGCTAACTACTAATTAGTGCTAATTAGCGTGAATGCTTGATTGCAAAAGAAGAAATTAATGAATTACCAACCATCAATCGATTAACCAATTAACAGTCAAGCCCTCAATCAATCAATCAATCAATCAATCAATCAATCAATCAAAACCAACTTTTTGTGAGGTCAAGATGACAACATTATTGATGAGCAGATACTCTCTTGAGGTCTGCTCCAATACGAAACTGTCGCATGTCTATACGGTACAGATCAGAACCAAGAACCGACCCAAAGAGATCGACCAGTGATAGCACAGTGGAAGACTGATATGCCACGATCTGACTCAACTACTGACTCAGACTGACTGAAACTCACTCATCATCATCAAGCAGGGTGAGAAGGCATGGCGCTGAACTCATGGACCAAGAGCGCCTTGCCAGGACATCATCCACAGATGAGGAGGAGGTAGAAGAGATGAAGGAGGAGGAGATGTGGAGATGTTGTCAACTCAAACATCGCTCATGAAGGCTCCAAAAATAGTCCCCCAAAATGTCTCTGCCCCGATACCAGTCTGAATCCAATGTCACCCTGTCTCAACTCTCAAAATCTCTCTCTCTCGTAGAAGCAAAGAAGAAGAAGAAGAGTCGGATGGAGTTGGAGGGAGAAGAAGAAGGGGAATCCTCTCGAAGTCTCTCGAAGGTGGAGCCAGATACTGACCAGCGTAAAGGTGTCTCCTTGGAGCTGTGATGCAGATGGAAGACACCCAAAGACAAACAGACTATGGTGGCAGGTAAGTCTGCAGGTGAGTCCCTCATAACCTGGCCTACGCCCTCAACCTCCTACTCTACTGCTCTGCCTATCTCCTCTACTGAAACATTGCTGCCCAGCAGCGTGACGACCTCAACCTCGAGCTCTGGGTAATGCTACCGGCTATAAGTAGCGCTGGTCCCACTGGGAGGCCGACTCAACCACTGCGAAACTGCACCAGCGTCTGAATGGGAACTGACGCGCAGAACCAAACAGACCTGGTCCCAAATCGAAAATGGACCTGGCGCCTAAACTAAAACGGCGCCTGAACTGGAACTGGGCCTAACCGGAGTCCTAATGCGGACCTAGGCCTGAAACGACTCTGGGCCCTAAAAGACAGGCCCTGGACTACCTACTGAACCTACGGCCGAAACGACATAGGTCTGAGAACAGACCTGGGACGGACCAGCGGACAACCCCTAGAAGAGACCCCTAATACCTCTAGAACCCCGTAAGTCCCCTAACCTGCTATCGGCCCTGCGGGGCCCCCTGTTGGAACCGTGTATGCCACATTTAGCCATGATAATTCGGTACACGACTTCTATCGACCTGTGACGTTTTGACCTACGGACCCTAGGACTCGACCTGCTGGGACAGCCTGGGAATGGGACCAATTGGGACTCTGGGACTGGGACTCGGGTCTGTCAGCTTGAAACCCTTTCAGGGACCGAGGCCCGGAATCGGGCAACTATGTGCTTCTATTCGAATATGAGAAGCCGTGCACAAACTTCGAACTTTTGCCACCCCGGGAAAGGGCAAAAAAAAACAGACACGAACTTCCGCGCCCGAACCCTCAACACTTCCCACAGCCTGTCCCGTCCCACCGGTACCGCCTCCCTCCATGAATTTTCATGGGCCCACATGGGGCCCGGGTTTTCTTGTAGTGAGAAATATAGATAATATGCTGGAGGAGATGCTGGAGGAGATGCTGGAGGTTGGAGACAATGGCAGATGAGGGAGAAGTGACATTGGTTCTTGCTTGTGTTCATCTTCTTCTTCTTCTTCCACTCTCATTTCTTCTCATTCCTTTGTCTATTTCTCTTTCCAATGTCTTTCATTTCAGTTGGAATTGAATGGCATTGTCTTTCTTTGGGATTTTGCACTGACAGATACCCAGGATCATAACAGTTATAAAAAACGGACCACCACACATAGTTTACACGATTTTCCTATTCTTTGGCAACCTGGTTAAGCAAGGGTGTGTCAAAATCCCACTCCATTGCACCGAACTTTCGGTTTTAATGGTCTCTGAAGAGTCTGAACTAGATATCATATTCAGAGCATGTGGTCACCCACCATCATCAAATCTGCAAAGTGCATAGCAGACATCTCCATTTCGGCCTATCATTCCTCTTTCACATCTCTTTGACCTTGAGCTTGTAAACTGTCAATCGTTCAGCTCATAACTTGAAATGAGGACGGGAACTTACGTCGACCGTATGTACAGAATGACTGACAACAGTGCCAAAACGAACTCCACCTGGGAAACAATGAAGCCGAGGAACAAACAAAACAAGCCCAAAAAAACATAAAACATCAGGGTAAGCAATAAGAAAACGAACTTCAAGATCCAACCTCCAAGCCTGTTGCAACCTTGAGCAATTTTGTTTTTTCCTCGTCAGACTGAAACTTCGGACTGATCAATGTAGTACCCTCTTAATCAGTGTGCTCTTTCTAGAAAGGTATAATATCAAAGAGAGCTTAGAGAGGTATGATATCTTGGCAGTTAGGCTCCCCACATAAGCACGAAGCAATTGAGACCTCCTATCGTTGCTGAACCTCCTGTGTTCTCAGCTTACCACAGACTGATTCTCGTTTATGGGAAAAGTCTCAGGGCCACGAGTCAGTCTCTAAGTCCTAGCGCCAGTCAAAGTTCATGGAGGCCTACGGAAGGGTCTGAGAATTGTTCTCCAGTGGGACTGAGAAACCCAGTAGCCCTACCTGTTCTCAGTCCTAATGTCACACACACATTCCCTCGTCCAGGCCAAATTTCCAGATGAATCCAGGGGCTATTGAGTGCCCCACAGCGTTAGCCCAGCAGCGGATGCCTCAGCCAGTCCCTGGGACTCAGCTGCACAACCAAGTCAACGTATCTCCACTGCCAGTCCATTCACTCAGTCAGCCCCTGGTACCCAGGTGGTCAGTCAAGGCAATGTATCTTCACTGTCAGTCCATTCATGACACATTTTGCCTGGTGCTCTTGCCCAGCACTGAAGCAGAGTGGCATGATGCCCTGCTGCTGCCAAACAGAGGAGAGAGAGTGCTTGTACGCAATGCACGGGCAGCCATAGGAGAGTAGGAGGAAGACTGGGAGACATCTGAGAGTGAAGGAAACTTACCTGGTGGCTGGCGTCCATTGCCACATTTAAGAAGACTACTTGACTACTGTGGACCAGCACTCTTCAATCGAAGACCTGATTCTCTTGGCACTGGATCGCTGCAAGGAGCGCGACTGGACTAGCTCAGGTTAAAGATACTGGAGAGAATATTTATTGTTTAGTACAGAGTCTACAATAGCCAAGAGGTTGATGAGAAATGGCGGATTGAGGAAGAAGTTACTCCGACGTAGAAGTGGACAGAGACTAGAGGACAGTCATTCTCTTTGGACACTAATCTTCATTATCTTTCGCTGTTTCCATCAACGATTGCTTGACTCAATGCCTCGTTGACATTGCTTTGTTGAAGTTTGTTCATGATTATGCGTCTGTTGCTCGGTGCATTGAATTCGGTATCAGACCCGCTCTCATGGTTGTTTCAAGTTTGCTAGTGGTGAGTACACTTCTGTTTGGCATAGCGAGAACATACCTGGATGTTTCGTTCACGCTCGAGGACAAGACAACTGTAAAGCTGTCTGGTGATGGAGGCTGTGACGGCCAGTATTGTTGACTCATTTGGAGTGGTGATAGGGCACGAATTCTTGCGGGATTGAGTGTTGGAAGGAGGAACTTGGTGCAGTCACACTGCATCACCATTGTTGATTGCCAAGTACTTGAGTGTCATCTCCTCTATGGGGACTCAGAGGCTATCAACCTTGAGAGACATCCCCACACTTGGAGGAGACTATACGGGGTGGATGAGGTGGTTAGTGGAAAGGGCTGGGAATGATGCAGGCACTTTGTTCCCATTGTGCTCATGGTGGTCATTGTTCACACTCGCGTCCGCTGCTACCACATCGCACACACATGTGCTGATTGAAGTATACGGCCGGTGACATCTTGCTGCGTCATTAAGTTACCCTTGATAGGAGATTCCTGTTGGAATCACCTGATGACATCAAACAGGTAAGCAAACTTGCTTGATCGGAAGGGGTGGATGAGGTGGTTAGTGGAAAGGGCTGGGAATGATGCAGGCACTGTGTTCCCATTGTGCTCATGGTGGTCATTGTTCACACTCGCATCCGCTGCTACCACATCGCACACACATGTGCTGACTGAAGTATATGGCCGGTGACATCTTGCCGTGTCATCAAGTTACCCTTGATTGGAGATTCCTGTTGGAATCACCTGATGACATCAAACAGGTTTTGAGCATTTTCGAATTATTCTGATTTAAGTGCCCCGTGATTGGGGTTGGTTTGAACATCCAATCATGACACCATGGAGGCGCGGCCCTATGTGAGGGCCACGTCTGATCAGGGAGCAGCCAATATAAAAAAGAACATTGAATTAATTTTATTTATTTATTTATTTATATTTTTGGCTATATGATCAGTCATTGTCTGGCTAATCATTTCTCAACCAGCAACGACGCACTTGCTATAAGCGAGAACCCCCTGCAGTAATTAAATAGGAATAGTATTCTGCATTTCCCCGTGTTGTGTTCGAACATGGGTGACGCAGAAGTGCAGAACTGCACCCTTGTGTTGTATACCAACAGGGGCAACACATAACTGTACCCTCGTGTCGCAATCGGCAAACGGCACCATAATTGTACCCCTGTCAGTATTTGAACAGGGCCAATGCAGAGCTGCACCCTGTACTGCACCCCGTGTTCTATTTGAACAGGGACAATGCCGACCTGCGCCCTGTGCCCTATCCGAACAGGGAGTGAGTGGTCTGCATCCCTGCACGACTACAGACTGCACTCCTATGCTCTATTCGAACAATGGTTGTGCAGGCTGTACCCCCCTGCAGTATTCGAACAGGGAGTGTGCAGGCTGCATCTCTGTGTTGTATATGAACAGGGACTAAGCAGAGTGGCACCCTGTATTGTATACGAATAGGGGCAGCAAAGAATCACACCCCGTGTATTATTTGAACAGGTGAACATCGGATCTCTACCTCTACTTCTATTCAGACAGGGAGGTAAACTAATTGGGATCCGAGCAGGCCCCTTGTAGCACACTCCGGGTGAGATGAGTTTAGAGAACAACGTGAGTTCAAGTGTATTCGAAGAACGACGAACGACCAGCATATAGGTGTTGTTTTCTCAAGGTCCGTGCAGTCACTCAAGCGTGATGGTAAACTTCGCACGGCTCTCAATATAACCTTGTTCCAGTAAGACTCGGATCAATCATGGTGTTGTTGCAGTGAAATCACAAGTCAGGGGAGCGTTAGCATAGACTGCGAAGTCTCAAAGCTGCAGTTGCAAAGTTCAAATAGAAATCAGTTACAGCATCGCTACATATTCCAATTAAGTTATGAAGTGACTCTTGTGCGGACTTCGTGCTGAGAATTTTAATGCGATTTTCGCCATGATTTAAGACACGGTCCTTGCTACGATTTCTTGAGCAGCCCTTACTGCATTTCTCGGCAGCAGTTTACGGCAAACTTTTCTCAGCAGTTTACTGCAAACTTCTCAGCAATTTACTGCAAACTTCTCAGCAATTTTCTCCGCGACATTCTACTGCAGGTTCTCAATGAATTTTCAGCGCTAGTTTACTGCAGTCTCTCAGTAAATTTTCAGCAGCAACTCAAGAACAAAGTCTCAGTACACCATCAACAATGCTTTAATGCAATTTCTCGGGGATGCGTTAGTGTCCATTCAAAACAGAATCAGTGACTTCTTATACCATAACAGGTTCAGTGAATTCCCGGACAACAACAGATTATGAATGAATTCTTGATTCAGTTTCAGTGCGAACTTTCAGCAAGATGTCAGAGAGTTTCGAGTCAGTTCTCAGTTCTGTTTTGGTAAGCTCAGATCAGTCTTCAGTGTGAATTTCAATATATTCAGACTAAGACACAATGAGTTCAGTTTCATCTTAGAAGGTTCAGTTCAGCTTGAGTGAGTTCATTTCAGACTCTGTGAAAACAACTCGGTCTAAGTCAATTCATATCAGATTCGGTGAATTCAGTTTGACCTCAGTAAGATCGAATCAGTCTCAGTGAGCTCCGTTCAGTTCCGGTGAATTTAACCCAGTCTTAGTAAGCTCAGATCAACTTCAGTGAATTCAGTCTCCATGAGTCAAAGTGCAGCATCAGTGAATTCAGATCTGTTTCAGCATGCTCATTTCGGTTTCAACGAGTTCAGACGCAGTTGAACTTGATTCAGTGAGTTCAATTCTCAATTTCAGTGAGTCCAGATTTAGTGGACTCAATAAATGGTCTCAATTCACTCTCAGCAGATCTCATTGTCATAGGACATAACGCTGATCACAACGGGTAGTTCCGGTCCCAGTGCTGGCCGTAGCGGGCGGTCCCGATGATAGCAACAATGACGCTGGTCACAGCGAGCAGTTCCGGTGACAGCAGCGACAGTGCTGGCCATAGTGGGCGGTCCCGATGGTAGCAGCGACGGCGCTGGGCACAGCGGGCAGTTTCCATAACAGCAGCGACAGTGCTGGCCATCGAGGGAGGTCCCGGTGGTAGCAACGACAACACTGGTCACAACGGACAGTTCCGGTGACAGCAAAGTAGAGACAGTGTTGGCCATAGCGGGAGATCCCGGTGGTAGCGGTCAAGGTGCTAGTCATAGCAGGCAATCCCGGTGACAGCAGCAATAGAGCTGGTCATAGCAGGCTCTCCTGGTGACAGCAGCAACAATTTATGTCACAGCAAGTGCTCTTGGTGACGCTCGGAAATACTGATCAAATAATAAGTGCGCAGTTTTAAAATCAGCAAGTATTTGAGTACAGCAGACTCAAGGCAAGACTTTCTTGAGCACGACAGATACGTTGAGAAACAGACTCAGGACTTGAGCACAATCATGAGATGCAGGTTGCAACAAACCTCATTTTGAGTACAGGTCAGCATCAGGCGAAATCGCTCAGGGACCGCTTGACATGATATTAACCATTGTCTGATATCTGAGTATGATATCATCATCAGAGGGAAGAGAGAGAGTTGAGTACAAAGACAATGGTTTTATGATCTGTCTGTATGTTTGTGGCCTTGATGTGATGAAGAGCTCTTCTCTTCTCTCACGTGATCATCGATCTTGTTGTATCAAGTCCGTCTTGAATCTTGCCTCGTGAGGCTGGAGACCGACCTGTTCTCTCTCTCTCTCTCTCTCCACACACACACACACACACACACACAC